AGAAAGATCACTGTGAGTTCAAGGCCAGCCTCAACTGCATAGTGAGACCCTGTCTCCAAAATAAATAAATAACTAAATTAAAAAAAAAAAAAAAAAGAAAAAAATATTCCTAGTTTTATTTATGGTTGGTGTAAGGTTTTTTCCTTTGGCGCAAATGAGAGGCAGGACAGAGATAAAAAGAAGCCTTTATTGTGGAACAGGAGGGCTGCTGGAGAATGCAAGAACCCTCCGAGGGGGAAGTTGGAAAACAAAGTATTTATGGAGCTGGGTTTGGGACAGAGTTTGCACCGGCAATTAAGGTGTTATAACAAACACCTACCAGGGAAGTGTTGGCTCGTGGGAAAAGCAAAGAGAAGTTCAGGTTAGGCCAAGGAAGAAGGTGAAAGTTGGTCTTGGAATGACATATTGTTGTTTTGGGCCCCATGCCATATTGGACCACTGCCATGATGACTTGGCAGAACTTCTTACAGGGGCAGAAACCCATCAGTTGGTATGTAAAATCTTCTAGAAATTCGTCACAGAGAAGATAACCAAAAAATTTTCAACATCTCTAGTGAGGTGCACAAGAGCAAAAAAGACTTTAACAAGTTAATGGTTAGTTGAAGGAAAAGATGTCTAAAAGGCAGAATAAAATGTTTGCTATGCTATCAACTGGATATTATGATTTAGATCTAAAATGACCCCCAGAGGTAGGGCTTCTAAGGGTAGTTTGATCAAAAGGGTATTAACCTCATCAACAGATCAACACACTAATGAATTCATAACTAAACGGGCTACTATGACGTGTGGTCCAGTTGGAGGGACTGGATCACCCAGGGTATGCCCTTGGAAGGTGCATCTCTTGCTCTGGCTCTCTACCTACTCTCCTCTGCTTTTTTTTTTTTTGTACTGGGAATCATACTCAAGACCTTGCACTTGCCAAGCAGGTGCTTGTGCCACTGAGCTATATCCCCAGCATCTCCTCTGCTTCTGGCTGCCAAGATGTGAACAGCTTTCCTCTACCATGCCCCTCCACCATGATGTTTGTCTTGGGGACTGCTAACCATGGTCTAACAACTCTGAAACCATGAGCCATAATCTTTCCTCCTTTCAAGTTTTGTTTACTAAGTACTCTGTTCTACTGGTTGGTGTAAGGTTTTCTGTCTGTTCTACTGACAGAAAATAATGAATAACCATGAATATAAACAAATTATGTTCATGTTTAAAAAGTCTTAAAACCTTCATTTAGGGGCTGGGGATTTAGCTCAGAGGCACAGCGCCTGCCTGGCAAGCACAAGGTCGTGAGTTCGACTCCCGGTACTGAGAAAAAAAAACAAAAAAAACCCAAACAAACAAAAAAACCCTTCATTCAAGGATGGAGTGGTGAAGAAAAAACTCAGGCTAGTATCCAAAGATTACTGAGTAGAGCAGAAGTTTCCAAAGTGATATAAAAAATACCCACTGGGGTATAATAATAATAAAACACTCTCATAAGTGTAAGAGATGAAGAAGCTCTGCTAACATTTAGCACATTAGCAATAAGTGTTTATCCACATATATAAAAAACAATTGCATGTAGGAACACAGTCTGTAGTAGTTTACTCATAGTTTGTAGTACAATTAATCAACAAATTAGTTTGATATCTTTGTTAAATATGTATCACACAAGCGTTTATGCCACGCATCATTAATACCTCTGTTACCATGCAGAATTGGGAAAGAAAATGTTTAATTCCAAGGCTCAGTTAGAAGCTATTTCTATGTAAATATTTCTTACTATTTCTATGAAGTTCTACAACGCCGGGAACATGTCTACCCTGTGCACAACTGTATTCCCAAAAACTACCATTGAGCCTGGCACATAATATTTGTTGAATGAATTCTTTCTCCAGCCATAAAGGCACAAGTATTGTAATTATACAGTACCATAACTGAGAATCTTCTCATTAAACAGAGATCATTAAACAGATCGAAAAGGAGACTTTAAATTCATTTACAAAACAAGTACTGTAACCTTCATCCTATGGGAAGCTATACAAAACAAAACTGTTTACTGCACAGTGATTATTTTTTGGAGGCATACCTATACATTATGATGAGAACTATGGGCCCCTTATTTACAAAAATATACACAACTAGAGAGGCAGCGTGGCATACACTTCTAATTTCAGTAATTTAGGAGGCTGCGTTGGAAGTATCACAAGTTTGAAGCCAGATGGGGCAACTCTGCAAGACCATGCCTCAAAAAAACCCAAACAAAACCAGCAAAAGAACAAAAACAACAAAAAACCCCAAACAAAAGAAAAAAGCCTGGTGTGGCGGCGCACGCCTGTGAACCCAGCACTCGGCAACTTGGGGTAGGAGGACTGCTGAGAGTCAAAGACCAGCCTGAACTACAGGGTGACACCCTGTCTCAAAAAAATCAAAACTAGAGAGCCGGGCGTGGTGGCACACGTCTGTAATTCCAGCACTCAGCAGGGTGAGGCAGGAGGATCCTTCCGAGTTAGGTTAGAGGCCAGCCTGGGCTACAAAGTGAGTTCAAGACCAGCGTGAACTGCACAGGGAGACCCTGTCTCAAAAAAAAAGAAAGAAAGCAAAACCAAACACACACAGGAAACGCTGGGGACGTAGCTGAGCAGTAGAGCTCTTGCCTAGCGTTAGTCAACCCCTGGGGGTGAGGAGCAAATCAAAATACAACTCTAGACAGTCCATGGCCCTTCCATTATTAACTTTAGAAAGGGCTAAAACCTCTGCTTGACAATTCTGACTCTATGGTACTACACCGCACGCTTAATCCTACAGGAAAGATATCTGTAGATTTGCACAGTAACATCTTATGTCTGTTTTCTTACCTGAGCTCCTCTAGGAGGATGCTAATTGTGCTGTCGGTTCTCCTGGATCCCCATGCTTTCTGATCACCGTGCTCGAGTCAACGTCAACCTGTGTAAGACACAATGCGCGATAACTGAACAGCAGCGTGAAGTCGCTAAAAGTGGCACAGTATTGAAATCGGAATTCTCCACTCGGCTCCGGGCAAAGTTCCAGAAAGCGGAGTGAAGACTTCTCTAGCCGCTCCGCAGCAGGGTAATCTTCACGCTCATCTCCGGCGACACACTTTCTCCTCCTCCCCCGCGCCCTTCCTTTTGCCGAAGGCGGTCGGAGTTCAGGAGGCGGGGCCGAGGAGCACCTCTGGGTCGGGGCCGCCCACCCCTCAGCCCCACTGAGGACTCCAAACGTGCCATTCCACTCCTCTCTCTTTTGGAGAGAGTCTCCTCAGGACGCACAACGTGGGCTGTAGGAAATGACCCCGCCTTCTGAAACTCACCGCCCAGCAAAGCGGGCTCCGCAGTTCTGGAGACCGGAAAATCCCAGCAACCCCCAGCGAATCCCCCCAGCTCAGCCCACGAGCACCTCCCTAACTCCCAGTCCCTAGACCCGTGGTAGGATGTCCGCACTACTGCCTGATAAGGCTTACCGAATTCCTTTTGATTGTTACCTCACAGGGATTTAGCTGAAATGCTTGTATCAATTAATGTGACATAATTAAAATTATTTTAAGTAAGTCTGGATTGGCTTTTACACTGTGCTCCCCTTTGCCTGTGAACAGGCAAACGCTTGAGCCACCCCCTCAGAGGTCCTCTCTTCCAGAAGCTCCCGTCGCACCTTCCTCTCTGAGCCCGCCTCTTCCTGTAGGCGGGGTTACCGGTCCGCGCGGCCGGCATCGCACGACTGCGCAGGCGCAAGAGGGTGGTACCACGGCGGTTGTGACATGGGGGGGCGCGGAGGAGACGCCGGAAGTAGCGGTGGTACGGGTCTGGGTAGGGGGTATTCATCACCGGCCGCGACAACCCGCGCGGCGGCAAGAGCAAAGGCCCGAGGGGGTGGGCGTGGCGGCCGTCTGAACGCAACCCCCTCGTTTCGCTCTTCGCGCGGGGCGGCGCCTCGTCGCTCCTCTCCACCAGCTACGATGAGCGAGCGCCTCCGCCCCAGGTGAGAGAGAAGAAACCCCTTTGCTTTCCAGCTCCTCGCCCAGAGATCTGGGGGAGTGGAACCGAGGGAGTTCTCGAAGCGGGGCTCCGAGAAGCTTGGGTCTAGCGGTACTCCGTGTGGGCTGCTCTGCGGTCCGAGGCGGAGAGTAGAGGGATGTGACAGTGACCGGATACCTGGCCCCTGTGGGTGGCCGGAGAAGTGACTTTCCGAGGTCCAGGTCTCCCCTCTTTATTTTCCTTTTTCTGTCTTTTCCTATTTGGGGTGAGTTCTCTTCGGTTCCGGAAGAGAGACGGTGGCCCTGAAGCGTCCCTGTCCTACATTTAGGCGGGTGGGGGGATGGGAGAAATGTCTGATGTGGAGACGGATCCCCTTAAGGTGCCTGTGAGGGCGCTGGGCGGGCGCTGTTGGCACCCCAAGGTCGGGAGGAAGGAGGGTTGGGCTTAATCTTGCAGCTGGGAGGAATTAGAATAGGCCGAAAGACTGCCCTGGACGGTTGTGAGCCCAGAAGGGCAAATAACCAAAGTGGGTTGTGATCCTCTTTTAGCTGTAGCATTAACAGACGGGATTCTAAACTGTTTGGAAGCAGAGCCGTTTGAGATAGGATTACATGGCGATGTGCGCTCATTACCACTGACCGAGCCGACCCTCAGGGTCTGGGGCTTCACCGAAGACTTAGCCCTGACCAGTCTGGGATTTCTTCCCCCTGCATATTCCCCTGCAAGCAGGTGGGGAGGAGAAAGTCAGCATGTGTTACCCCATAGTGAAAGGGATCCATTTTATTTCAAATTGGAACGATCTTTCATCGTGGACCACGAAGTTAGTCACCTGCAGATCACCGAGTTAAACTTGGTTAATTTTTTGATCACTAAACACAAATCCATTCATTTACCCGAGTCTTGTCGAGTTTATTGCACTTTCCTTTATTCCGTAGTAGTTCAGGCTTAAGATGAACTTTAGGATTGCCTTTCTTATTCTTTGTTTTCGCTGTGAATGTAATTGACAGTCTTTCTGTAAGGATTCTTCTCTGAGAAAGTTATTTCAAAAGATTGCGATTCTCAAAAGCATCTTGAATTTGTTTGGTCCTGTAGTGAAAATTAGGGTCCCCAAACTACATTGAATTATTGATTTGAGTCATGTAGCAAGTAGGGCATAAAGCCTGTGTTTGTATAGAAGAGTGGACTAAATTTGAAATTATAAGGTGCCTATGAAAATTATAACTTGGTAAATGGCATTAATGCCAAAAGTGTAATTAACTACTATAGGGAGGAACATGGAGCAGTAATCTTGCCAATTATTAGCAAGATTGTTGAAAGGCTTGAAGTAGGCCAAATTGAAATTATGACCCAATTACACACACTGACAGCACAATCTTTAGTATAGTAATCCTAATCTGTCATTTTTTTTTTCTTAAACCCAGTTTATAGTTCTCATAGTCCATGTTGTGTCTCATATCTGCAAGTCTAAATATTTCTTAGAACAATTTTTATTTTTTACAAATTCCTTTTACAGAAAACCTGAATGTGTTTATCCTGACAGCAGATTCCTTTTATCTAGTACAAACACAGATAATCTTAACATGTTTATACTGGTAACTTTATGCTGAAAGAATTGATTGGACAGGCTTTTCTTGTTTGCTGTTCTCTTGTTTCATGGAGTGTGATGGACCAGGTCTGCCGGGTCCACTTAGTATCTCCAAGTCAGTTCATGTCTGAGTCTCTTTAATTTTCAACTTAAATTTTTGTGGGTGTGTGTGTGTTCCTGAGATAGGGTTTCACTATGCAGTTCAGGCTGGCCTTGGGGTGTGTGTGTTCCTGAGATAGCATTTCACTATGCAGTTCAGGCTGGCCTTGAACTCACTTTGTATCCCAGGCTGGCCTTGAACTCATATCAATCCTCTTGCCTCAGTCTCCCAAGTGCTGGAATTATAGGCATAAGCCACCACACCTGGCTTCTCTTTCTTCAATTTTGAGACAAAGGATTTGATCTAAGATGGTTGTTTTTCAGATTGTTGCACAGACTTCGATGGCTGTAGAGAGGTGGGTGTGTGGTGAGGGAGTTCATTCTTCCTAACAGATTTTTAACTTTTGTATATGCTGATTTTAAAAAAATTTGAGAGAGCCAGGCGTGGTGGTACATGCCTGTAATCCCAGCACTTGAGAGGCTGAGGCAGGAGGATCCTTGTGGTTCAAGACCAGCCAGGGCTACAAAGTGAGCTCAAGGCCAGCCTGAACTACATAGTGAGACCCTGCTCAAAAAGACCAAAATAAATAAATAAATAAATAAATATGAGAAAGGAGGGAGATGAGGGGAAAATAGAATAGATAGAAAAGATGAAGATGGGATATGTATATGTACCAGCTCCCCACAATGAATGTTTTTATTATTTAGCCAACGAAAAAGGGGAGAAATAAAAAGTTTGAAAACCAGTCTTCACGCTCTAAGATTACTTCTTTCCTTAGACTCGAGAAGATGACAGAAAGGTTGGAGAGAAATGAAATGCTAAAAGTGGTGGAGCTGACCATCTTGCAGAGTAACAGATGCCAGCAATCTGTACTTAGATGGCAAGTGGAGAATATAATCTATTATAGGGCGTTAGCCAAAGTTATAATCTGGTCATGGCATTAATGCCAAAAGCTGTAATCTGACTGTACTGATGAGTTGAGCATGAAGCAGTAACATGGCGAGTGATGAACTAGATTGTTCAGAGCAGAATGTTTCAAGGATGAAATTTGCTAGGAGCCTAGAAAAAGGAGAATAAAGAATTGGTAGGGCTTATTCTTAGTCTGTTACCATCCATAGGAGAGAGCCACTTGTGGACCAAAGAGATAATGCTGGTTCCCTGAGAAAGCAACTGGATATGAGCCAAGGATGTTTTGTGTGTGTTTCCCAGAGCTTAGTTGAAATCTACCAAGCCAGGCCATGTTTGTTCCTCTTTTTTGCCATGCAGCCCCCTTGTCATCCTCTAGTATAAATGAGGAAATGGCAAATTTTGGTCAGGCTTCTAAGTTTGGTTAAAGTGACTCAGCAGCCCAAAGCATAATCAGCTGTTGGCATACTGATAAAATTAGAGCTCAGAACCAACAGACTGCCATTTGATGAGTTTCTCTTTGTCAACTGGCTGCCAGGAGACATTACTTTGCTGTAGTAGCACATTCCTGTGTAAATTCTCTAATCACATTAGGATGGATGAGTCGGCTGTGGTGGCACATGCCTGTGATCCCAGCACTCTGGTGGCTGAGACAGAAGGATCATTAATTCAAGGCCAGCCTGGACTACATAGCAAAAAAAAAAGCCCTCTACACACATAGTTTGTACTATATTGAAGATGCTGTGTACTCCAAATTTACTTTCCAAAAGCTATTTCTCTCACTAGCTTTTTGTCTCATAACTATAGAAGTTTGAAACTTTCAGCATTTTCATTATAATAGATGCAGTGCTTTATTTTGTATAGATAGACCTCTAGCTAATGATACCCAGTGGAACTTTCTGCAGCGAAGGGGGCTTTCATGTTCCATGCTGTTCAGTGCAGCAGCCACTAGCTATGTGTGGCCCTGTTGCACTAGAAATGTAGTTACTATGACCTAGAAGTTGGATTTTTAATTTTAGTTTATTTAAATTTAAATAACTGTACTGTCAGTGGCTACCATTACTAGACAGTAAGTTCCAAGCAATTTCACTTCATACTTTAGTTTATTTCTGTTTCTTAATTGGGTTTTTTGGAGACAAGAGGGTCTTGTTCCATCTTCTTCAGCCTAGTCTTGAACTTAGTATGTAGCCTAGGCTGGCATTGAATTTACAAAGACCCTTCTGCCTCAGCCTTTTGAGTGCTGCAAGTATAGGCGTGCATCACCATGCCTGGCTCTCCTAATTGAGGTTTAGAAATTCTGTGAGTACTTAGCTGGGTGTGGTGGCATACATGCCTATAATCCCAGAACCCTGGAGGCTAACGAAGGAGGATCACTGGAGGCCAGCCTGGACTACATAGTGAGACCCTATCTCAAAAAAAAAAAAAAAAAAAAAGAAAGAAAGAAAGAGAACTACAGATTAAAGGCTACCACAAGCCTTTGATACTTTTACATGGCAAAGATTTTCAGGAGAAATAGGCCAAGGCAGCTACTCTTCTCTAAAATGTTGTCGTAAAAAGAGGTAAAAGTCAAGTTAGGTAATTTGTAATTGGAAAGAAAACCTTAATTAACTTTAAATAAGACATTAATATCTTGTTCTTATTTTATTTTTTGTAGACATTTAAAGTTGTCAAGCTTTCTTTTAGAAATTAGTGTTACTAATTTAAGCTTGACTTTACTGCCCCTGTCTTATATTTTTGGTTATATTGTACTTAACAACTTTTACCCTATTGAGGTTTCATAGTAAATTTTTTTCAGGCAAGAGGACGAATGTATATGTTGTCATGGCTTAGAATAGTCTAGAGAGGGGAGGGGAATGGGAAAAAAAGAAGCAAGATATATCATGTACATGTACGAATTCCTTATGGTGAATGTTATCATTATGTATATCTAAAATGTACCAATAAAAAAAATGAGTCATCAAGCATGGTGGTGCACGCCTGTAATCCCAGCACTCAGGAGGCTGAGGGAGGCGGGTCGCCACAAGTTCGAGGCCAGCCTGGACAACATAGCGATACCTTGTCTCAAAATATATATGAGTCTAATGATCAATTGTTGGATTGCTATTAATTCTTGTGTTTTAATTTCAGGAAAAGGAGAAGGAATGGCAATGAAGAAGATAACCATCTCCCTCCCCAAAACAAAAGGAGTAGTAGAAACCCCGTCTTTCAGGATTCCTGGGACACAGAGGTAGGAAGTACATATGGTCACAGACTTGGTGGTTTTCACTGCCTGAGCTGAGTAACCCACTTTCCACTGTGAAATTAAATATATCTATTAAAAAAATGAAAGTGATCTTGAGTGCAGTGGTTTCAGCCCTTTTGTAAATTTAGTTGTGGTCCTTTTTAAGGACACCTTTCCAGCAGAGCCGTCTGTGCTTATGTATATTGTTATACACACACACTTGTTTGTAGAAGTTTCATGGACTTTAAAAGCCCATATTTGAACCCGTATTTTATATTTTAGCAACCAGCTTCTTTTTTTTAGTTAGTATAAGTTTTCAGTGTATAATTACATTCATCCTTGGGAATTGGTACATATTTGCTACAGTTTTTGGTTTCCTAAAAGAGTGCTTCAGTAAGTATATTGGGCAGAAAATTTCTGTGCCATCGGAAGGCATGGTGAGGAAAGAAAGCCAGCATTAAAGTAATGCTCCTATTAAATTATGCACCTAAAAATTATGCACCTTGACATTTGTCATGGAAAAAGGCCACAAAGAGAAAGATTCTTAAGCCATAGTTCATTCATACCTACAGTGGAATTCTTACACACACCAAAATAAACTGTACTTCACTTAGTTCCCAGTAATAGGATTTGACCTATATCCGGTCTTATTTTTAAACCAGCAGTCCAGAGTCACTTCCCTAAAGGAGGAAAATCAGTAACTCTTGTATAGGTAACAGTCAGGAACAATTAATAAACAGTCCAGATTAGAATCCTTCTGCGGAGACTTAAAGTTTCTAGATAGCTTTTCTTTCTCCCTTTTAAAATCTCACCAGCTGTGTATTCATTTCCTTTTTTAATTATTAGCAGAAAAGTATTGTAGCTTTTGTTTAATGTGATAGATAATTGGGGAATCTCAGAGATGAAAGAAAATCAAAGATTAGAGGTTGTCATGAACATCTTATGATAAAACTGTAACAGTAATGAAGTTTCCATTACTGTTTTGAATTATAGGACTATTCATTAAAAGAGTCTGCAGTTATTTTCATGTTTATCGGCATCAGTATTTCTTTTTTTTTTTTTCTCCGGTACCGGGAACTGAACTCACGACCTTGCGCTTGCCAGGCACGTGCTTTTGCCGCTGAGCTAAATCCCCAGCCCCCAGCATCAGTATTTCTTCCCATGGATTGCTATGTAAATCCTGCTGTATAATGTTTATATTGATTCAAAGGAATAGTAGGCCTCTTTGTACTAACCTTCTTACCTCTCCTAGCGATAACTGTCATGCCTGAGAACAGGAACAGAAATTATCATCTTTCATATGTTTTTAATTAAACATTTGTGTTCTCTTAAAGTAAGCCAAACATACCTTAATATTAGGTTTTTGTTTTAATTGTTGTTTATAGAAAAATGACCTTTACTCAGTTTCTAAAATCTGCGTTTGGTCTCAGAAGAAAACAGTCTTGTTATTCAACCCCTCAGATCATTTTATTTTGTTCTTACTTGTCCAGAGAAACTGAGCTGTTGAACTACTCCTGTGTTATCATTAGTCTGAACTATGGACTAGATTGTCTTCATTCTAATTTAAGCTTAATATAGTTGTCTTTATCTAAACCCACTGGTAGGTCACCTAATGGGATATTGTGACCAATAGTTTCTGCCTTGCTTCAGAGCAAATTATTTACTAGTGTGCTGTGCTGTGCTGTGCTGTGCTTCCTCGGTGGTGGTATTAACAAGTAATGGGGATGTGTGAATAGTGCAAAAGCTGGAGAAGCAAAAGGAAAGGGAAAATGGACGGGTAAGCCCTGAAAGATTAGATTTTCTCTACTGGAATTTTTTCTTTTTCTTATGGTACCGGGTGGGAAGGAGGATTTTTTTTTTTTTTCCGGTACTGGGAATCAAACTTATGACCTTGCGTTTGCCGGCAGGCGCTGTGCCACTGAGCAACATCCCCAGCCCCGGGAAGGGGGATTGAACCTGGAACCTACTGTATACTAGGCAAGTGCTCTGCAACTGAACTACATCTCCAGCCCTAGGATAGATTATATTTGTAGCACAAAAACAAGTTTAAAGGCCCTTGGGTCCTATTTGACAATTATATATAAAAGAGAAAATAGAGGATTATTTATTTACATAACAAAATGTTTTATTAACACTGATAAAAATATTATCTTTTGATCCTAAGATAGTAGTATAAATTTTCTGTGAATTTTTTTGTAACTTGAACTTTCATTTTTGCAAAGAATTTATTTGAATTCTAAGAGAGTTTCTTTTTTTCTCCTAAATTTAGTAATATGTATTGGCAGTATTGGGAAATAGGCTATGACAAGGTTGATTTATGTTAAAGTAGTAAGCTATGTTACAAGGAACTCAGTTATCTTTCCTAAGTTGGAGATAGTTCATGCTACTTTTTCCTGGGTACTATGAGGTTGAAGAAGATTTGTCAGCTGTTATGTCCAGAGAAGCTTTAATTTATTGATGTAAATTACATCTTATATTAATAAGAACTATACTCACATTTTTTTTTTTTT